ATGCTGTTGCTTAACTCTAGTTAAGACTAGGTATTTTTCTCAAGTCTAGGCCTGCCTACATGCATAGCGTGAATCTTTCTGCCCAGCCCTAATGCTTGGCTAACCATCTGAAGGATGCTACTGTTTTCAGGGAGGAACTGCTGGGAACAGCAGAGCTTCTGCAGTGTTTCTCCTGTTTTCTCCTGGGATGTTCAGCAGCACTCATTGTGCCAGGGAGAAAGTTGTTCCTGTTCCTGCTTACCACTCCCAGATACCAGCTCCTCTCACCCTTGCCCAAGTCTCTTCCTAGGCAAGGTTAAGACCAGCAGTTATATCATTCCCACAAATGACCATTTTCACCTATAAACTTCAAAGTGATCAGCTTCTCGGCAATTCCAGATAGATCAGCATGGTTAATGAATGCATCAGTCACACCTGGTCCTTTGAAAATCTCCCTTAGGTCACAGACACCAGAAATAGAGGCTCTTGGAAACCACCAGCCTCTCCTGTCGAATGCCGTGGAAAATGAGGGTGAATCACCACACAACAGCATTAACTAACTACTAATGGCAGCGTCTTTGAGAACCAAGGGAGGGAAAAGCACTTTGTTACTTCTCTGCGTATTCCTGTTGGTGTAAATGGCTGCATCGCCAGAAGGGATGTCACTGTGAAATGTGAGGCTAAACTGGAAAGTTTGTGCAGAGTTTTGCAGGAAGGAGATCTAGCCAGTGGAATTTCACAGGGGAGGGTATGGAGCTCCTCGATGCTTCTAGATAAGCAGTGGCTGGGACAGAGGGACTCCTACTCCAGGAGCTAGGGGAGTCATGTAAAGGACTGACAGATGTGCTTATCCCATTGGCCTGCTAGTGTTCTATATGGAAGGAATTAAGGAATAATTAAATTTTATTTTTCCCTACTGCCTGCCAGCGACTCTGCTCAGTTATGGGATATGTCTTGTTTCCTCCTCACAGGAGCATTTTCATCCCATATCATTAACTTACTCCTGTTCCTGCTAGGTTGCCAGACTGTTATATGCCAGCTTTGCAAGTTATATTTCCAGGTTTTCCAGGGCAAAAGATTTCTGGCTGTGGAAGCAAGATGTCAGCAAGGTGATAAGGATTGAGCATGAGAAACATGCACTTTGCATGATAAATCCTCATGCAGCCATTTCTTTTTGCCTTAAGGTATTGCTGCAAAAGTTCATATAAATAAATTTCTAGACATAAATAACTCCATTAAAATCAGGAGATTGACATAAATTAAAAATCGCTTTAACTAGAATAAAAATTAAGTCCTCTTTGTATTTGTATTTGTATATGTTTCTGTAAAGGACATCCTAGTTATGATGTGAGTATCTTACAAATATTCATCCTTTTCTCCTCAAGTAAGGAAAGTTCTTCTGGCTCTGTTTTGAAAAACAGCATGACAGACAGAAAACAGCTGAAGCTAAGCAAAAAGTTTGTGGCAGAACAGAGAATAGATACTAGACCTTTTCAGCTTCGTTTTCAGCTTCTTTCACCAATGCAATAGGAATCTCTGAACCAAAATTTCAGATGAACTCATAGTTTTCTAGATGAAAGCTGTATAAACAGAATCAAACAGTCTTATTATTTTCTTCTGTGTTATATCTCAGAAGGAAGTAAAGTTCTTTTATTATTGTGGTGTGATTTCATTTCTCATAACAGACATTTCACCTCAGAAGATCACTTTCATCAGTTTGCAGAAAACATTAAGTTTCCTGCTTTGTGTGTACCTAATCTCCTAGCACTGAAAGAAAATGTGTTTCCAAGAGCGTACAAGCATTTAAGGCCTGACATTTATTCCACTGGAGTCAATTAGACAGCATTTTAATGTTCAAGATGGGTAACCTCTCACTGAGAGTTCATCTTAGGTTTTACTGATATATACTGTACTCGGCACTGGTGAGGCCACAGCTTGGGTACAGCGTACAGTTTTGGGTGCCAAAGTACGAGAAGGACATTAAGGTGCTTGAGTGGGTCCAGAGCAGGGCAGCGAAGCTGGTGAGAGGTGTGGAGAACAAGTCTTAGGAGGAATGGCTGAGGGAACTGGGATTGTTTAGTCTGGAGAAGAGGAGGCTGAGGGGAGACCTTATCACTCTCTACAACTACCTGAAAGGAGATTGTAGTGAGGTGACTGTTGGTTTCTTCTCCCAAGTAACAAGCGATAGGACAAGAGGAAATGGCCTCCAGCTGCACCAGGGGAAGTTTAGATCAGACACTAGGAAAAAGTTCTTTACTGAGAGAATGGAGAAGCATTGGAACAAGCTGCCCAGGGAAGTGGTGGCATCACCATCCCTGGAGGTCTTCAAAAAACATTTAGACATGGCACTTCGGGACAGGGTGTAGCGGTCATGGTAGTGTTGTGTTGATGGTTGGACTTGATGATGTTAGAGGTCTTTTCTGACCTTAATGAATCTATAACTGTAGTCTATGATGTTCTATAAAGTTGCCAGATGAAGACACAGAAACTGTAGACCTGCTTGACACTTCCAATGCTTTTCAAAACTAATTGTTATATGTTTTTTAAAAATCACTAGAATAAAATAGGGCAAAAAATAAGTAA